GTAGATAATATGAAATCATGAAAGGAATGATCTTCATAAAGATAAATTGAAAATGCAGTTTTTCTAATATCTTGATTAAATAATTTCATTGCTCTCTTTCGAAAAACGAATATTGGTGTTCTCGTATGAGCGCTGCGCCGCGCCTTTGTGTGTATGTGTGTGTGTGTTGCTGTCTCAGTGCGGCATTGTTAACTGAGCAAAACATATTTGTAACATATGGTTAAACACAGACACCTGTATCTTCTCAGAGTCCAGTATTCACGCCTAGTGTTTTGTAATATTAATCATGCATTATAGAGAAGAGAGTGACAGCTTCTCAATGTTAAAGCGGATACCACAACGGATTCGCAGGTCTCTGCATTACACATCGGTGTACACAATGGTACACAATGGTACACAATGGTAGTGTATTAAATTTGGAAATTAATATCAAATCTCCGTTAATATATACATGACGATGCCAAAAACACGGCCGCCGCAGTGGCCGTAATTCATAGCATAGTCGTCGCATAAATTGTAAGTGATACGTTGGCGTGCAATGAGAATTTGCTAAATTGGCATTACTAATTAAATTCAGCATATATTCGCCGGCACATACAATCGTACAGGTAGATATAATTAATTCGAGTTTGATATTAAAAATAAAAGCTACATTTTAACTACTACATTTTAATACTTTGCAGTCCACCTAAAGACGCCTTACCTACGTAGTTGGCCACGCTTATTTGGTCAATTTTCTTCTTATACAAATATTAATATTTAAAAAACTATTGAACATAGCTTATTCGAAAAACTTTTATCGTGAAGACTATTTTTTCTCTATTATTAAACATCATAAATGTTAACTTTTCTGTGAGAGCTTTATTTTCGGAGACAATCAAAATCACGTCTATTTTGAGCTGAAAAAAAGTTCAAACATTAATATAATCAATTTTTTAAGCGCATAAATAAAGAGGATTGAAAAAATAAAAATTTTTTTATAGTATTTATATATATTTCTCTTTAGTATGATAGATTTCAAAACAAGATTTAAGGTATAATCCTACATTACACCGTGGACATATAGTGTTCACAACTGCTAAGATTGTCGATCCTAGCTCCGGAAAAACAATCCTAATCGTTTGAGTGCTCGTGAGTTGCTTTGACATAGCTACGAATCGCTATTTATTTGTTTCATGTTGCCAACTGCTTAAAACTGCATATATTTTAATTTATCGATAAAACAAATGCTGTCAAATTGCGACGGCACAGTGCCGTCGGCGGACAAAATGACGACAAAATGAACGCTACGGCATCATGCCGACGGATCGCAAAATGTTAAAATATCTTTAAAATAAGAATTCTTTATTCACTTAAACGCATTAATTTAAAAACTTTATGTATATAAGAATCTTGTACACATTGTATGATTGTTATTGTATACGATACATTCGATCGATTTTTGTGTAATGAACATACTTGTTTTCAATAGATCCATTTACTATCTTATACATATATAAGAAAATTTCTATTTTTATTTTATTATTTAAAAATTCTTAATTAAATATTAATAGTAACTATTTACATCTAATATTATATAAATACAATTTTAATATAATATTTATAAACAATATTCTAATTCAATTTACAATTGATAAAGTAAGTGTAAATTATATTGTAATTGTAATTGAAAATTAATAAATATCTTATAGTTAATTTCACAACTAATATTTCCGAGGTTTTTATTTTTGAAATCGCAAGCTCTAACAATTTTTCTACTTATTAATTTTTATATTTCTAAGTCAAGTTTTTATAAATACAATTTTAATATACTATTGGCAAACAATAATATTTCAATTGAATTCTAAATTAACAAACATTTTTAAAATAAATATTTTATAATTTACATTTTAAATAATTTTTTAATTTGTAAATCTTAAATTGAAACATTTTTCCTATCTATTTGAATCTTTATAAAAATAATTAATCATTGACACAAAGAACGATACGCTTAAAGTAAAAACACATGTTGTCCAAACGGCACACCTGGGAGTCAATTGTGTATCTTGAAATAATGTAAAAAGTGAAGAATTTGAATAGAGTATCTGCTATTTTATAGATTAAAATTTAGTAAATTTTCTCACTTTTAATAATTTTTACCTCAATTTAAGATACACAATAAATATATAACAATTTTTTTACTTATTAATTTTTATAGTATTCCTATTGAGTCAAATTTTTATACAATTTTAATATACCATTTGCAAACAATATTTTAATTAAATTCTAAATTAACAAATATTTTTAAAATAAATATTTTACAATTAGAATTTTAAATAATTTTTTAACAGTTTATAAGTCATATTTTAATTCAATTTTTAATAATTAAATGTTTTATGAGTTAAAATTTTATAATTAGTATTTTCTTTATTATTAATATATAATTTTTTAATTTGTAAATCATAAATTATAATAATTTTTCTGCCTACCCAAATTTTTGTCCTTTTTCCTCCTCACAAATACTCGTAACATTTTTACCTAGATTTAAAATAAAAATACATAATTCATACATTTCTAATATATTTCTACATGAAATCAGCTAAAAACAATTTTTTTGAATGTAAAGATAAAATTCTTATGATTTGTTTTTACAAATTGCTTTTATAAATTACTTTTATAAATTTATAATTTAAATAATAATAAGTAAAATTACTATATTATCTGATAGAAGACATTTTCTAGTTTATTTTTATATCTTCTTATGTTTAGCTTTTATTTAAGAAATATCTAAAAACAAAGTGATATAATAATTTTTGTATTGGCGATTTTTCTCCATATATGAAATGGATTCTCGATGGATGAAGAAACTTCTAGTCCGATCATTTGTACACTTGGCACTTCTAAATGAACGATACGATGAATTAGTGTAATTTATTTTATTCATTTAAATTAATGATAAAATGTCGATTAAAAACGATTAATACATAAAATTCATTTAAAAGCCATTGAATAACTCGTAATTATATTGTGTTAATATTAAATATTTTTAGCAATTCTCTCTCTCATACATGCGAGAATCTAGCATTTATGGCAATAGCATCTATTCCCACCACACAGCAATACTTTGTATAACGCCTCTTACTTCTCATTGGCACAACCTCCAACTTCTTGGCCACATCCAACGTCACACGTTTTTTCACGTATAGAATTCTTGCTCCTTTTCTCTCCTGCGTAAATCCTTGGATTTTTCTCTCTTTTCTCTTCCCCTTGTCTTCACTTGAAAGAATTTATGAGTTAAAATTTTATAATTAGTATTTTCTTTATTATTAACATATAATTTTTTAATTTGTAAATCATAAATTATAATAATTTTTTTGCCAAATTTTCTATCCAAATTTTTGTCCTTTTTTCTCCTCACAAATACTCGTAACATTCTTATCTAGATTTAAATTTAAAATAAAAATACATAATTCGTACATTTCTAGTATGTCGTTTTTCCGTTATAAATTTCACATCTTATCTCCTTACAGAAATCCAATTTAATACTGACCAATTGTTTAGTTTGAATATTAAAAATATTGAACAACAGTATTCTAATATTTAAAATAAATAATTAATCACTCCTTAAACACTGCTTAAAATTCTACTTTTCTAATTTTATATTTAAAATTGAAAATTATAGGAAACTTTAAAGATAGAATGTTCAATGTTAGAATTATTGAAATGTTCGTTAGAATTACTTAAGACTTATTGAAATTACTTTAAAACTATTTTTCTATTCCTTTAAAATATCTGAATGCTATTTTAAAATTATTTTTTAAAACATTTGTGTTTTCTAAGATTATACCTTAAAATCACTCTTGAGAAATACTTAAAATTTCTGAGATTATTTTAAATTAACTTTTTACACACTTTAGATTATAAAGATAATATATAAATATTTGTACGTGTATGTATAATAAAGATAAACATTTTCTTATTTTTATAAAATCTTTTTAATTAAATTTTTTGCATATACTTATGTATTATAATTATTTTTCTTGCACAAAATAAACTTTGTTATTTTGTGAAAAATATATATACAATCAGTTGATAAATTTTCCATTCATAATTCGTCATAAAATATCACAAAAAGTATCACAAAAAAACATCAATATATACAATACAACATTTCATCTCACGAGCAAATGAATTTTTAGTTTCTTCAAGCGTTGAGGCTGACAGCTGCATTTGACATGCAATGATAGTGCTATTTAATTGCAACTTAAATGCATAAAAATTGTTACAAATATAACACAAGACACTGTTTCTTATCTCTAAACTGTACTAAAATTTTTTTTTATTTTTGCCAAATTTAAAATTAAACATACAACTATTCATTTTAAACACAAATGTATGTACATACACTAGATTAGTTATAAAAAATAAATTCTTTTAATACTATCAAAAAATCATATAGTTCTTCATATGTAAGCGTTCTCCAAATATAAGGTATAAAATTCGTCGTTATCCTTCATCATTTTGTGCCAGTAATGAATAAATACGTAAGTAATGGATATGACAAAAATATTTTAAATATCTGACAACAGAAAAATTAATTTATTGAGTATTATCATTATTTTTTAGAATAAAGTTCTTATTTCTTCTGTTTAAATATTTAAAATATTTTTTCAGTTCAAAAATGTTTATCGAATTTGTTAAATATTTTAAAATACATGCTCGAATTGCAACATTCATTTCATTTAAAAATTTCTTATTTAAAAATTACTTAGATGCAACTTTGTTTTAGAACTTAAAATACCTCC